AGATGTCCTAGTGAGACCGTGTTGCAGATGTCCTAGTGAGATCGTGTTGCAGATGTCCTAGTGAGACCGTGTTGCAGATGTCCTAATGAGATCGTGTTACAGATGTCCTAGTGAGACCGTGTTGCAGATGTCCTAGTGAGACCGTGTTGGAGATGTCCTAGTGAGACCGTGTTGCAGATGTCCTAGTGAGATCGTGTTGCAGATGTCCTAGTGAGACCGTGTTGCAGATGTCCTAGTGAGATCGTGTTGCAGATGTCCTAGTGAGATCGTGTTGCAGATGTCCTAGTGAGACCGTGTTGCAGATGTCCTAGTGAGATCGTGTTACAGATGTCCTAGTGAGACCGTGTTGCAGATGTCCTAGTGAGACCGTGTTGGAGATGTCCTAGTGATACCGTGTTGCAGATGTCCTAGTGATATCGTGTTGGAGATGTCCTAGTGAGACCGTGTTCGAGATGTCCTAGTGAGACCATGTTGGAGATATCCTAGTGAGACCGTGTAGTGAATGTTAACTGGTGGAAGGGGGTATGTTAATGTTAACTGGTGGAAGGGAGTCAGTGAATGTTAACTGGTGGAAGGGGGTGTGTTAATGTTAACTGGTGGAAGGGGGTCAGTGAATGTTAACTGGTGGAAGGGGGTCAGTGAATGTTAACTGGTGGAAGGGGGTCAGTGAATGTTAACTGGTGGAAGGGGTTGTGTTAATGTTAACTGGTGGAAGGTGGTGGGTTAATGTTAACTGGTGGAAGGGGGTCGGTGAATGTTAACGCCCCACGGTTAAATGTTAACTGGTGGAAGGGGGTCAGTGAATGTTAACTGGTGGAAGGGGGTCAGTGAATGTTAACTGGTGGAAGGGGTTGTGTTAATGTTAACTGGTGGAAGGTGGTGTGTTAATGTTAACTGGTGGAAGGGGGTCAGTGAATGTTAACGGCCCACGGTTTAAGCCTAATGGCGCAGTTACCTAGGGCTTTGCAACCAACCTAAAATAGAATGGACACAAGCGCTATAAAAGTACTCAGTAGTCAGTTGTCATCATCATCACCAACGCTCTCATCATAAGCTACGCGCTGCTCTCAATGGTCGAGGATCAGCTGCAGACATCAAAGTGTGACACAGAGAACCTCTCACTTGATCGAAATGTCTGCCAGTGGCATTTCAGTAACCAGAACGAGGCACACACTTTGTAAAATGCGTTGTAATTATAACTTTAAATGTCTCTAAAAGTGATTTTATTTGCTTTTTTAACATAGAAAAACTGACATTAAAAGCGTAAAAAAACACATCAATTTTTTTTTTTTTAAATTTTATTTTAAATTATTTGTAATGTACATTTTTTAATGTCATAATTTAAGGCAGAATTTATTTATATCAATAATGATGTCAAGATGATTCTGATGTCAAGATGATTTTGATGTCAAGATGATTCTGATGTCAAGAGGATTCTGATGTCAAGATGATTCTGATGTCAAGATGATTCTGATGTCAAGATGATTATGATGTCAAGATGATTCTGATGTCAAGATGATTCTGATGTCAAGATGATTCTGATGTCAAGATGATTCTGAACATAAATTCAATAAATATGGCTTGCAATCTTAGCATCAATTCAATGAATGTGTCTTGCAATCTTAGCATAAATTCAATAAATATGGCTTGCAATCTGAGCATAAATTCAATATATATGGCTTGCAATCTTAGCATCAATTCAATGAATGTGGCTTGCAATCTTAGCATCAATTCAATAAATATGGCTTGCAATCTGAGCATAAATTCAATAAATGTGGCTGGCAATCTGAGCATCAATTCAATAAACGTGACTTGCAATCTGAGCATCAATTCAATAAACGTGACTTGCAATCTGAGCATCAATTCAATAAACGTGACTTGCAATCTGAGCATCAATTCAATAAACGTGACTTGCAATCTTACAAGTTTTCACTCTCGTGCTGACCGCTTATGTTGACGACACTGTTTTCCCGTAGACCGAGAGTAATTGACCCGGTGTGTACAACCGGCATACCAATGCGCACAAACCGGAACTCTGCGATATAGGTCAGGAAGAAAATGGAGAGTAGACCGGCAGCAATCCATTCTAATGTGGTGGACGCGATGTGGAATTCAAAGCCCTGAACGTGGAATAAAAAATGTGTTGTAGAAACTAGAAAAAAGAATGCCTATCAATAAACATGACACAGAAATTCGTTTTTAAATAAGCATGCTACGTAGACACTTCGGGTAGATAAGACTCTAAGGAAGTGGTTATCAACATTCCTAACACCGCGACCCTCTAGGCGACCCCTGTGTAAGGGTCGTTCGACCCCGCGACCCACAGGTTGAGAGCCGGTGCTCTAGAGCTTTGTATGCTGGCATCATGTAAGAGAAGGGAGCAATCCAAATATAAATGCCCGCTGATCTTGTAGCTACAAACCACATGGTTAGAGACTATGGGAGCAAACTCTTGTAGCTACAAACCACGTGGTTAGAGACTATAGGAGCAAACTCTTGTAGCTCAAAAACCACATGGTTTTAGGCTATGTGAGCTGCGAACCCCATGGTCAGAAAAATTGTGAGATCGAGTTCCGTCGGCGGTATGGAATTAAACTCAATGAAAGTAGGGCAACTCCTACACTCCTACGACGCCCCTGGTGCCAAGCAGTACCGGTACCGACTATTTGAAGTGCCTTTGGGTTCACAAGCTGCTTGGAGAGTCGGGACCGCTGAAGGGGTAATAGACTATTTCCCCATCAAAGTAACCATCTCCCATGCTTTGTAGTTTTTGTTAGAGACATCCCAAGCCGAGCCACACCATTGTCTCATGGAGACGGACAGATGCCACCCCCCCCCCCACAAAAAAACAAAAACAACAACAACAACAAAACAAACAAACGAACGAACGAATAAGCAAACCTAACAAACAAACAAACCTAACAAAAACGGAACACCAAAATGCACCCCTCACCTCAACCGTTGGGTCCCAGAACCCTAAAGGATAATGCGATGGCTTCAACAGTTCAGCAACAAGGGCCATGCATGGAACTGAAAGTCAAGAGATGTCAGTAAATTTTACCATTTTACACTTAGAACAAATTGTCCTTCAGTCAACAGCAAAGTCCCCTATGTGTATTTCGATTCAATCAATTGAGACTTATACTCATTTTAAAAAAGAAAAAAAACAAAAAAACATCTTAATTCGTAATTAAGAATTAAAAAAAAAAAAAAAGTACCTTAACTTAAGAACAAACAAAAGAGCAACGACTCGCCAGATATTCCAAAAAACCTACATGCTATAGCAGTTCCGGCGGCCAGAATGGCTACAAGCAGACGACAGTGACACAGGCATATTGAATACCCCTTGACAGACGGCAGACGGTATGAGATGATGGACTGTAGCAAGGCGTAAATCAGTGCAAACAGAAAAGTCATGACTGCTCCGGTCAAATGAGCGATCAAAATATTGCTCTCCTGGAATGTAGGGCAATCGTGTTTACACAAGTTTCAATGGACAACATTTATGGACAACATTTATGGTCAACATTTAAACCAATACTTATTTCAACTCTAGTTCTGGCTAACAGAACCCTCATAGCAGTGGCGTCACTGAGGGGGGGGGGGGTTGGGGTTAGCGAAGGCACAGACCGCAACGGGTGACAAACTTAGGGGAGTTGACATCAATCCTGGTGACCACTGGCTAACAGAACCCTCATAGCAGTGGCGTCACTGAGGGGGGGGGGGGGTTGGGGTTAGCGAAGGCACAGACCGCAACGGGTGACATACTTATGGGAGTTGACATCAATCCTGGTGACCCCTTTGACTCATAGGCCTGATATTGTTTTTGTGTCTCTTTGTTCGTCAATTAAATCAGAATTATGATCATGAAGAGTTTAAAGCTTGTCATAGCCAGGTTTATTTGAAGATAAATCAGCAACCAGGTTTTGTTTCCCAATTAATCAGCAGTGCAATAGCGGCTCTGTGACGCAATAGTGCCACATACAGACTACTAAAACAAAATACTACGACCCACCTGAATGTCAGCCACAATCAGCAACCCAAAGACCCACCTGAATATCAGCCACAATCAGCACCCCAACGACGTACCTGAATGTCAGCCACAATCAGCAACCCAAATACCCACCTGAATGTCAGCCACAATCAGCAACCCAAAGACCCACCTGAAAGTTAGCCACAATCAGCAACCCAAAGACCCACCTGAAAGTTAGCCACAATCAGCAACCCAAAGACCCACCTGAAAGTTAGCCACAATCAGCAACCCAAAGACCCACCTGAAAGTTAGCCACAATCAGCAACCCAAAGACCCACCTGAAAGTTAGCCACAATCAGCAACCCAAAGACCCACCTGAAAGTTAGCCACAATCAGCAACCCAAAGACCCACCTGAAAGTTAGCCACAATCAGCAACCCAAAGACCCACCTGAAAGTTAGCCACAATCAGCAACCCAAAGACCCACCTGAAAGTTAGCCACAATCAGCAACCCAAAGACCCACCTGAAAGTTAGCCACAATCAGCAACCCAAAGACCCACCTGAAAGTTAGCCACAATCAGCACCCCAACGACCCACCTGAAAGTTAGCCACAATCAGCACCCCAACGACCCACCTGAAAGTTAGCCACAATCAGCAACCCAAAGACCCACCTGAAAGTCAGCCACAATCAGCAACCCAAAGACCCACCTGAAAGTCAGCCACAATCAGCACCCCAACGACCCACCTGAAAGTTAGCCACAATTAGCAACCCAAAGACCCACCTGAAAGTTAGCCACAATCAGCACCCCAAAGACCCACCTGAAAGTTAGCCACAATCAGTACCCCCAAGCTTGAAATCATGCCACAGACTAACGAAATGTTGTTGAGTCGAGGGGTTACCTTGCTACAGATGTAGTAGTTGGCTATAATACGCCATCGAGTGTAAACACAGAGAAAAGCTGTAAAACAAAGAATTCTAATTAGTGAATGTGTGAATAGGTCTATATGGGAGAAATCTAATCAAGAAATGTGTGAATAGGTCTATATGGGAGAAATCTAATCAGGGTATGTGTGAATAGGTCTATATGGGAGAAATCTAATCAGTTGTTACGCACTGACTTGTATTGGGAGAAATTAATCTCCTATTTTAATTTTAATTGGCTCGTTGTAAACAGTGCCTAACAAAGGACGATACCATAGAATAAACAATATTAAAGATACGACCCAAAACAGTTTCTAGTTACAATTAATTAAGATTTATTATGTCTTAAGATAATTTACAAAAGAAAAGAAAAATATAATTACAATCTTCAACTTACAGTATGGTAGATCTTGTACCGGTACACAGTTAACACAGTTAGAATAATGTGCCAATAAATAATGCGAAATAAACACATATAAGCTCACAAATACACAAATAATAAAACACGCCTCGTAATGTTAAGAAAATTTATCTGAAAATCTCCCTCCCTCGTCGTGCCTGTCAATCCCTTATATAGGTGGGTCTACCGACGCCTAAGCCCTGCCTTCTACAAGCTACATGACATTTCGAGAAAAATCCCATTTATTCTACAAAACACTACTTGGAACAGATTAATTATTTTTAGTAGCTGGCGGTGTAAACAAGAATACACCAAAAGCCTATGCCACACCCCTTTGTGAACACAGCGTCTCATGCCGGGTCAATCAGAGGGCACGCATGAGAAATATTATGTAAACAAGCTCTCTATAACACAGTGAACGTGTGAATAGGTCTATATGGGAGAAATCTAAACAGCAAATGTGTGAATAGGTCTATATGAGAGAAATCTGATCAGGAAATGTGTGAATAGGCCTATATGGGAGAAATCTAATCAGGGTATGTGTGAATAGGTCTATATGGGAGAAATCTAATCAGGGTATGTGTGAATAGGTCTATATGGGAGAAATCTGATCAGGAAATGTGTGAATAGGTCTATATGGGAGAAATCTAATCAGGAAATGTGTGAATAGGTCTATATGGGAGAAATCTAATCAGGGTATGTGTGAATAGGTCTATATGGGAGAAATCTAATCAGTGAACGTGTAAATAGGTCCATATGGGAGAAATCTAATCAGGAAATGTGTGAATAGGTCTATATGGGAGAAATCTGACCAGGAAATGTGTGAATAGGTCTATATGGGAGAAATCTGATCAGGAAATGTGTGAATATGTTTATATGTGATACATCTAGTCAGTGTACATGTGGAAAGGTCTATAAAGGAGAACTATAATCAGTGATCTTAGAATAGTTCTATATGGGATAAATCTAATCTGTGAACATGTGATAGGTCTACATGGGTTAAATGTAAGCAGTGAATGTAGAATAGGTCTACATGGGTTAAATCTAAGCAGTGAATGTAGAATATGTCTACATGGGTTAAATCTAAGCAGTGAATATAGAATAAGTTTATATGGAAGAAATCTAATCAGTGAATGTGTGAAAAGCTGATATATAACAGGCACATCAATAATAATTCGAATATAATGGTAATGGAGGATACACCAAACAAATGCACGTCCTTTTTAAACAAGAAATTTACTTAGTCCTTATGAATATACATAACATTGCATGCGCATTCAAATAGGGAACAAAGTGACGGAGAATCAAAGTGCTTGGAAATCTGTTGGACACATATGCCCCAGTGTCAAATAATTTTTTTAGTGACAGATCTAACTCCCTTTGGTTCACTCCCACAGTTCGGAAGGCCAAGCGTGTTAGGCGTGGAGCTGAGAAGCGTTGGAGAAGGAGTGGCCGTGAAGTTAACAGACTATTGTTTCTGAAAGCACGCAGCATGTTTGCGTAAGAAATCAGGCACGCAAAGTCTGAGCATGTTTAATCTCTTTTGCCTGACATGAGCAGCGAGCAGGCTGCAGTTAAACTGAGTGATTTTTTGCACTGACGAAATTGAAACAATCAGAAGGAGCTTTGGGAAACGTTGTGATTTGTCTACGGTGGAGAAAGTCTTTGAAGGCAACCATCTGGTGGAATTTTCCCCAGTTTCCCATGAACAATTAAGAAATATAATCATGGCATCTAGACCTACATCTTCTATTGTTGACTCTCAAGAATCTTAGATACAAAGGGCAGGTTGGGTCATCAAACAGACTAAAATTAAAGGATGATAAGACTAAGGCAATTATGTGTGGTTCAGACGCCAAGCTTTGGAAAGTTACCATTGCATCAATACAAATTGGTGAATCAGAGATCCTGTTGTCCTCGACTGTCAGAGACCTTGGCTTTTATATTGACAGTAAACTTCTTCTTCTCTTCTTCTTCTTCTTTATTTTAAGGGCCCACGATCAATGAATTGATCATTCTGGCTCCTATTAGTATGATTCCCCATATCAGTTCTGTTGTCAAGGCATGCTTCTGTCATCTGCATGCCCTGGGTCAGCTGCGTCTTCAACTCATTAGGAGAACAGCCAATGCTGTAGCAGTAACTCTAGTCCAGTCAAGATTAGATTACTGTAATAGTTGTTTGTGGGGTTTACCTCAGAACCAAATTCAGAGACTCCAAAAGATACAAAATACTGCAGCACGCATTGTATCGCGGATGAAAAAATCTGACCACATCACTCCAGCTCTACGAGATCTCCATTGGGTTCCTGTGAGTGAGCACATAAACTACAAAATTCTGTCCCTGGCGTACAGCTGCATAGATGGCTCAGCACCGGAATATATCAAGGAACTGATTTATAAACATGTACCGCTGAAGAGCCTGAAGTCTTCAACACAGTCCTTACTGAGTGTTCCTAGAGTGTGGATGAACACAGAGAACAGATTCTTACGGAGTGCTCTCTTTTGAAGCGATAGCGCCAACATTATGGAACAGTTTGCCACAATCTTGGAGGGGAATTGTCAATGATAAAAAATCATTTAAGAAACAATTAAAAACTTTTTTGTTTAAATAGATTTCGGGGGACCAGAGCGCAGTGAGCATGCTAAAATGGCATGGATACCGGCGCGATCAAATCAATCAATCAATCAATCAATCAATCAATCAAACAATCAATCAATCACAATCTATCGAATGAAATGTCTAGACATTTTAAAATGTAACTGAGATAAAGTAACACAATGTGTATAGAGTATACCATACTTAAGAGTAATACCATCTGGACACTAACGGTCGCACATGTAATCGTTGTGTTTTTCAAGTGCTAAGATATGATTGCAGTGGGGTGAGTGCTAAGATATGATTGCAGTGGTGTGAGTGCTAAGATATGATTGCAGTGGTGTGAGTGCTTAGATATGACTGAAGTGGTGTGAGTGCTAAGATATGACTGCAGTGGTGTGAGTGCTAAGATATGACTGCAGTGGTGTGAGTGCTAAAATATGACTGCAGTGGTGTAAGTGCTAAGCCTCACTTGTAAAAGAGTAGAAAGCCAGCAATATTCCAAAAACACAGCTCTCCGGACTATATGTTCCGGTGTCACTGGAAAGAGTGGAAAATAAACAATATCAAATTGAAAATATATTTTTAAAAAAAATTAGTGTCTAAAAAGTTATTAAGCCAACCTTTCGACAACACTTTCGACAACACTTTAGACAACACTATAGACAACACTCTAGACAACACTATAGACAACACTCCAGACAACACTTTTGACAACACTTTAGACAAAACTCTAGACAACGCTTTTGACAACACTTTTGACAACACTCTAGACAACACTCTAGACAACACTTTTGACAACACTCTAGACAACACTCTAGACAACACTCTAGACAACACTCTAGACAACACTTTTGACAACACTCTAGACAACACTTTTGACAACACTTTAGACAACACTCTAGACAACGCTTTTGACAACACTTTTGACAACACTCTAGACAACACTTTTGACAACACTTTTGACAACACTTTTGACAACACTTTAGACAACACTCTAGACAACACTTTTGACAACACTTTTGACAACACTCTCGACAACACTTTTGACAACACTTTAGACAACACTCTAGACAACGCTTTTGACAACACTTTTGACAACACTCTAGACAACACTTTTGACAACACTTTTGACAACACTTTTGACAACACTTTTGACAACACTCTAGACAACACTTTTGACACCACTCTAGACAACACTTTAGACAACACTTTTGACAACACCCTAGACACCACTCTAGACAACACTCTAGACAACACTCTAGACAACGCTTCATACAACACTTTTGATGTATTGTCCTTAAACTAGTGAGGTAGCAACTTGCAGTGGGGGAAATTGACTATAATTTAATTTGTCCTATCTGAAGAAGGTTGAATTTGTTTTTTAAAAAAACAACGTATGCAGTATTTCTGGAGGATAATTCAATAACAAGATATTTAACAAGAAGAATTTTGATATAACTTACCTAATATATGGAAATACATTATCGACGTGGTTGAGTGATGTGGATATAACTTACCTAATATATGGAAATACATTATCGACGTGGTTGAGTGATGTGGATATAACTTACCTAATATATGGAAATACATTATCGACGTGGTTGAGTGATGTGGATATAACTTACCTAATATATGGAAATACATTATCGACGTGGTTGAGTGATTTTGATATAACTTACCTAATATATGGAAATACATTATCGACGTGGTTGAGTGATTTTGATATAACTTACCTAATATATGGAAATACATTATCGACGTGGTTGAGTGATTTTGATATAACTTACCTAATATATGGAAATACATTATCGACGTGGTTGAGTGATTTTGATATAACTTACCTAATATATGGAAATACATTATCGACGTGGTTGAGTGATTTTGATATAACTTACCTAATATATGGAAATACATTATCGACGTGGTTGAGTGATTTTGATATAACTTACCTAATATATGGAAATACATTATCGACGTGGTTGAGTGATTTTGATATAACTTACCTAATATATGGAAATACATTATCGACGTGGTTGAGTGATTTTGATATAACTTACCTAATATATGGAAATACATTATCGACGTGGTTGAGTGATGTGGATATAACTTACCTAATATATGGAAATACATTATCGACGTGGTTGAGTGATGTGGATATAACTTACCTAATATATGGAAATACATTATCGACGTGGTTGAGTGATGTGGATATAACTTACCTAATATATGGAAATACATTATCGACGTGGTTGAGTGATTTTGATATAACTTACCTAATATATGGAAATACATTATCGACGTGGTTGAGTGATTTTGATATAACTTACCTAATATATGGAAATACATTATCGACGTGGTTGAGTGATGTGGATATAAAGTACCTGAAAGATAATCATAAATAAAGATTCAAATAAAGTTTGTTGAGTACACATTACTAAGTAGACATCTCAAAGTCCACCTGGGCGTTAGGGGGCTTTATCATGTTATTTTCCATAAAGGCTACTAGCTAAGTGGACTGTTAGAGAACTTAAATGATTACCTCGTGAATACCAACATTGACCTATGACCTGTGGTCAATGAATGTCTACACACAGACTGACATCAGCCACACACACACACGACAACATGCATTCGGCTTGCCAATTAATCTTTTCCAACTATTATTCTATCAGACGGACGACATACTGAATGACGCTTAGTCGCAACACCCCCCCCCCCTTTTTCCCGCCCCAATGCCCTTCCCACAAATATTAAACACCTTCAATATAGCGTAATTCCACTGCGGGGAAAAACAGTTTCAAAATTGGGTTATTAACAATATATTTATTGGGTTAACAATATATTTATTGGGTAGTTAACAATATATTTATTGGGTTTTAACAATATATTTATTGGGTAGTTAACAATTTATTTATTGGGTAGTTAACAATAGATTTATTGGGTTTTAACAATATATTTATTGGGTAGTTAATAATATAGTTATTGGGTAGTTAACAATAGATTTATTGGGTTTTAAGAATATATTTATTGGGTAGTTAATAATATATTTATTGGGTTTTAACAATATATTTATTGGGTAGTTAATAATATATTTATTGGGTTTTAACAATATATTTATTGGGTTTTAACAATATTTTTATTGGGTAGTTAACAATACATTTATTGGGTTTTAACAATATATTTATTGGGTAGTTAACAATTTATTTATTGGGTTTTAACAATATATTTATTGGGTTTTAACAATATCTTTATTGGGTTTTAACAATATATTTATTGGGTAGTTGACAATAGATTTATTGGGTAGTTAACAATATATTTATTTGGGTTTTAACAATATATTTATTGGGTAGTTAATAATATATTTATTGGGATTTAACGATATTTATTGGGTTTTTAACGATATATTTTTTGGTTTGTTAGCAATAAATTTAAAATAACTTTAAAAAACAACATTTAAATCCTCAATTTGCGTGAAGTTTACGAGATCGTCTTCAGCTATGAAGTGTAAATGACGTGCACTTTATGTGTATATATGTGTACACATTCCAATGAAAAATGGGTTGTAGTGACCGCTGGACCAACAGTGTATCATTATTACCATTAAATATCAATGAAAGCTCGGCACATGCATCAATAAAAGTTAACTTCAGCTTTCCTCGACAAAGAACACACAAAAACAACAACATATAAATAGCAAAAAAATAATAAATTCGTATATAAGGGTTAAAACGTTAATGGTGAACAGTTAGGATGTTGAAATTGTCCCGTCAAACATGCAAATGTTACTTCATTTTTATGGAGTAATCGCATGCTGCAGACCTTTATGAAACGCGCCAGGCAAGTGTTCACAGTTCACAGTGCTATACGATAGCTTGTATGTATACGAGCGCTGTTCCATCGCACTCACAGCTGGCATCAATGTGACCTTATTAAATTCGTTAGCAACTTCATCTCATTACCTAATATTAGCATCTGTAAGGGTGAATTATGAAATGTGCGTCATCAACATTACGGTCATTACTCACGTGATGATGCAAGTAACCGGAAGTAAGACAAAATGTATCACTATGACGATTTCCCCTCGGAGTCCTCGTGACGTCATGTTTCACTGTGGAAAGAATTCCCCCAGTGAAGCAACAATTGAGCAAACCCTAACAACAAAGTTTTTGTGTATGAATCCCTTATAAAATGGAATAGCGAGCAAAGGTGGGTGGGGCTGATAATTTGAAAAAAAAACAACAACATGCATACACGTAACGCACTTTAAAAGAATCCCAATTAGTTCTCTCTCTCTCTCTCCCCCCCCCCCTCTCTCTCTCTCTCTCTCTCTCTCTCTCTCTCTCTCTCTCTCTCTCTCTCTCTCTCTCTCCCACAGGCTCGCAGCCGCATATTTAAAAAAAAAAAAAGTTTCCCATTTAGCGCAGTAATCGGGAATTTTATTTCATGAAATCAGTGGCATCATATTTCCTTCACCATCACCCTTGAAAAAACATGAAGAAATGATTTTGGAGGGTTAGGGCGGTGGCTGAACATTTGAAAGAATCTGTTGTCGTCGGCCACGGGTCTATGGGCCAGGTTTCAGCTCGATAGGTTGACGGGAAATGGATCAATTAACAGTCGGAAGATTTTGCCCGTAACCCTCAAAAGCGAACTTAATTTCAAGGATTTAAAATATTGACTGTCCTATTTGTTGGCAATATCGTAAACATAAAGTTACATGTAGGTCAACAACAGCTACCACCGGGACGACTTGTTTTTCTTGTATATATCAACACTAGTGTAGAATTTGTACGGCATAGAGCAGTGATTTCATTTGTTTTTTTTTTCACAAACCCCCCCCCCCCCCCCCCCCCCCCCCCCCAGGTTTTCAGCTCAAATAAATGTTCAACTCTTTTAGGGAAAATCAAAATTTTCTACGGGCACATGTTTAAAATAAACTTACGAAGCAAAAACAAAATGTCAACTATCTGTGTGTGCCTATGCTATGACGTGCATGGGTCTATGTCAAGTGACCTCGAAGCTTGAGTCTATTGTCTATTGTCTATCGTTATTTGATTGTGTATCCTTCTCACCAGTGTTGTATATCTCCTGATTATGGTCTAACACGTTTGAAGCACTTGAAAGCAAGTCAAAAACTTTGAGATATCCCATCACGGTTAATTTATTATTTTTTTCGCTTCAATTTTTTAATGACTTCTTTTTTTTTTTTTTTTACGAACATCCCAAAGTCTTCCGGACATTTACAAATACTGCATTTTTGGTCAAATATTTTACGGACCATCTATGCATCTAATGCACCCCGCTCCCCCCCCCCGGGGAATGTACATTTTAACGCTATATTGCCAAGAAAAGGTTGCTATGGGGGGCGGGGCATGCTTCTCAGCGTGGGTCACGCCATGTTGTGTGGCTTACACCATATTGAGTGGTGCCATCATACATATTGTGTGGCTTACACCACATTGAGTGGGTGCCATCATACTGCATGGGTCACACCAAATTGTGTGGCTTACACCACATTGAGTGGGTGCCATCATACTGCGTGGGTCACACCATATTGTGTGGCTTACACCACATTGAGTGGGTGCCATCAAACTGCGTGGGTCACACCATATTGTGTGGCTTACACCACATTGAGTGGGTGCCATCATACTCCGTGGGTCACACCATATTGTGTGGCTTACACCACATTGAGTGGGTGCCATCATACTACGTGGGTCACACCATATTGTGTGGCTTACACCACATTGAGTGGGTCCCAACATATTGTGTGGTGACCGGTGCTTCCTTTATTTTAATGGCTATGCACCCATCGACAGAAACCCGACATGTTGCGAACGAAGGGAAATTAGTTGAAAGTTGAATGAATAACAAAAATGACACAGTCAAATTTAATGTTTAGTAAGCGGGCCGCTTTGTTCCTCCAACTGGCTCTTTCCACTCAACTTACCCACCAGAGCCACTCAATCTAGGGGGCGCTATCAAACAGTTTGTGAATCGCTGATCTATAGCCGCAAGAAATTAATTTGTGAAGTTTTTAAGCTGAGTGAATAAAAAGCTAAGGATCCGGTGGGGAGGTGGGGGGGGGGCGGCCAGACTCTCAAAACCAAACATGTTAAGTGTAGTCGAATCAACTGTTGCTTTTTGGAAGCTTGTTCCAGTCCCTGATTGTCTTTGGCAGGAATGAGAAGTGCCTGTAATGGGTTTTTTGTTTTTATTAGCCGGAACTGCAAAAGCTAGGGGTCAAGTGGGGAGGTTGAAAAGGGGGGGGGGAGGGCACCAGACTCTCAAAACCAAACATAAAAAGCTAGGGGTCCAGTGGGGAGGTTTGGGGGTGGGGCACCAGACTCTCAAAACCAAACATAAAAAGCTAGGGGTCCAGTGGGGAGGTTGAGGGGGGGGGGCACCAGACTCTCTAAAAATAGCAATTTAAAAAACCAATAAATAAAAGGTATGCTTCATAATCATAGTAATTGTAGGCTACCAGAATCTCATGACGTCAATAAAATAAAATACATTACACATCAGTGTAGTAAGGGATAATAGAATAAACCAATCCAATTATTGAAGAAAATATTAATAACAGTTACAATTGTTGTAAATAAGCTTTAATAAATGACAGTACCCGGTACTGTACTAGTGTAAGGTGTGGTTTACGATTTGACGAAAATCAAAAGGAAATTTTGTTGAAATAGTTTTTCTTTGTGGTCATTAATTTCCTGGTGTTTCATGTATTTGTTTTGTTGTTTTAAAAAAAAACTGAATTTCAACTATTGCTCCAGTTTACACCATGGAATGGAATAGCCGCGGTTGGGGGTCGCGCAAATTACGTCACGCTCAGGGCTGGAGGGGGTTCGAGAATTTATGACACTTTGTGTTAGGGGGGAGGGGGTGGTTAAAAAATGTGTGACGTCATTTTTTATTATATTTTCTAATTAAAAAAAATCTTTATTCAATTAATTTTAAAAACATTAATTTGAGGTCGAAATTGCCTCAGGTATTATAAATACCGTGAAACTCAGTCGCTCACACCTTCTGCGCATATCGAAAAATGACGCATAAACTGTGGTGGCCATTTTACATTCGGCTCGGGGAGGACTGCGTTGTTTTACGTTTGACGTCACAGTTTTCTAATAATAGGACATCTAAATTCATTATGGGGAAATGTTAATAGAATAAAGTCAAATCTTAGTTTAGTTATGAAAATTTGATGTAAGTTTTGAATCTTTTTAGGTATCACGTGACATTAAAGGGGGGAGGGGAGGGTAAAGAATTTGTGACACTTTGTGACAGGGGAGAGGGGGGTCTGAAAAGGTCATTTTTGGCGTGACGTAATTTGCGAACGGCTCTTTGGTTAATAGGTTATTTTAAAAAAATATAATAATAACGTTCCTCGTGGACATCATCATGTGAAGCAGGGCAAGAGGAGGGGCGGGTGTGCTCACAAAAAAGTGACCCCTATCTCACGTGTCCGCCTCTGATGAATACATTAAGGAAAGACACGTATGGCCTACCAGCTGCTCGGCAACAAGTAGACGGTCAGACATGTAGAATGTGCCACCAGTGATACATTTATTAAGTGACGACAGCGGAAGCTCATTACACTTCATGCTACAAGTATGGAGAGTGTGCCATTACAGAAAGTACACAAATACCATACCTTCTTATATTTTATGATTGTTCCGTGTACCATGTGAGCCCCTCTGACTCTAACAGACTGTGAATTTACTAAGAGTGAACAGCATCTTCAAACAATCAGAAGTCCCTGAATTCAACATTCTTTTCGTGTGTGCACACGAGTAAGGCCCTACATCTTACAAACAGTTAACACACTTTACAATTTCAAGTGAAAATCAATCAAGCATACTAAGCTGTGCACAGATAGCAAAAAAGAATTGAACTAAAATAAAATACGTGCGTCAGTGTTAGGTAGTGTGTAGCTTCTGATAATAAAGTGTCGTATCTTAGTGATAACGTGATAGGTAAGCCCTTTTAAAAAAGTAGAAGAAATGAGTCCAGCTGCTTTCTACAACAAGCTGTTTATGAAATGGTTGTGGCAGAAGCCTAGACATGCACATGACCGAGACAACAAAAAACTAAGGCCTACCGGTCATTTATTAAAACCGGAGGCATTTAAATCAGATTATTGAGCCTTTGAGCAGCGCGGCACCCCCACCCACCCACCCCTCTCATTTCAAAACATGACCCGCACATCCCCTCAATTTCAAAATATATCCCGTACCAAACCGGGAACCGGTAATTTGATCGAAAGAAATTTCGTCGACGGAAAATTGATCGACGGAGTTTTGATCGAATGGAAATTTGGTCCCAGTTAGCGTTGACAAGATGCCACCTCTGTACTGGTTTGCAGCAAAAGCGGCCAAGTGGCTGCTATATATAGATTGATGATCCCATCAACGACCGCTGCAGTTATCTCACGATGAATTTCCCCATAACATCAATGTTGATTCTACAACCAAATGAACAGCTAGCCTTGAACGGGACAATGGAATGCGCCGAGATCAGATCTCCCAAAAATTCTAGTTTGTTGTAGGGCTTAGCCGGGTGCAGTCTTTTGCTGCCGGCCCGGGTATATCGCGATAATACCCGGTGGGACCGAGTCCGGGTGTTACACAACAAGACAAGAGTTATCCTCCCACTTTTCTCTCATGTGGCCCACCCGATGGGGAGAAGTGAAAAATGTATGAAACTAAGGCAGTAGCAACCACGAAGGCATCACAGTTGCAGGCGTCACAACACTAATCAGCGCTCAACAGTATAATCCTAACACAGCGACTCTCAACTCTCGACCTTACTAGTGCCACGATCCCTTTACACCATTTGCCAAGTTGTGGCGCTCCACAACCAGAATGATACCTAGAAATTGAGAACCAAGTGTTAAGAAGACGTGGGTGGGTGGGTGGGCGGGCGGGCGGGGTGTGTGTGTGTGTGCAGAGATCTTTGTGTAGATCCAAAAAGAATGTTGGTACCGGTAGTGTTATTTTGATCGGAGTGGAGGGAGGGGGGGGAGCAGAAATAGGCATTAGAAGGGTGGATTGTTCTAAAGAGGGGGGGGGAGGGTCTGTAAGTCAACCCCCAGAAAATGTTTGATAACTTCACACAACTGGTTATAAATTTGCGGTTTTTTAAAGAGGGTTGGGGGGGTGGGGGGGGACGACGACAAAAAAACCCCCAAACAAATGCAATAATATAAAAAGTAATTTTAAAAAAATGAAAAACGACACTGCGAAATTATTTGAGACAAACTGAATGAGTTATAGTTATTGACCTAACAATAAGGGACTCACCAGATCATTGTAAATAATATTTAAATTTTAAAATGAAAATTCAAATATAAACCAGGCCCATTTTACACACATAAATCTCTCTCACATTTCTGCTATTCTCAAGTGACCCCTGACATGTTGTCATCTGGCCCCTGACATGTTGTCATCTGACCCCTGACATGTTGTCATCTGGCCCCCTCTTGTTTCAACCAATCGCAGTGGCTTTGCTCTTCCTCTCTTCCGTCCCCTTTTGCCTGCATTAACTCACTCGGCTACTTTTGTTCTACCACATTCTTCTTGCTGTCCAATTCGATACTACACTACATAGCAGCTAAGTGCATGGGCGCCCACAGGGTAAGCAAGGGGGGCACTCCCCCCCCCCTGGATTGATTGGATAAATTTTTTTAAAGTCAAAAATAGATAAAAAATGTATTAAAGTAAAGAGAAAATAAAGAGAAAGTAACTAAGCTGATGTCCTGTCCGTTCCTTCGACATACANTTGCCCCCCCCCTAGATAGTTAATCCATTTTTTTGCCCCCCCCCCCCCCTAGAAAGTTTTCTGCGGGCGCCCATGGCTAAGTGTATAATTTTTTGTGTTTTATTGTTTCTAACTTTTGTGTGTTCACTGAAGTAGGCTTTTTGCGGATACAGTCGTTTTTTTTTTAACGTCCTTCAAAATTTTGTTTCCCCCATATTTATGGTCGCTCATTTCTTTTTACCTATCCCGATTGCAGTTCTCCCCCGTTATCAGCTCGTCACTCTTCTATTTGTATTGTTTTTATTTCCGGTGAAATATGCACTAGAGTAATGTCTCCAAGACGTAGTGCCTTCCGGTTCTCCACATGCACTTTTCATTTCTCCCCAATATGGGAAATTGAGAACATAACTCTTTTTGTTTAAACGCCGGGGTCTGGGTTAGAGAATACTCAGCATTGGCGGGTACCCGGCTCAGTCCTAGTTTGCTGTTTGCTGACTTTATTAATTGCCGTAGTAGTAGTAGTCACTAGACATTGTTTAAACGTGTCATAGTAGTTAAATGACCTTCTTACTTGATATGGTAGTTACGAGACCTTAGACATATAGCATTTTAGGAGACCTTAGACCTATACCATTTGTTATGCGACCTTAGACCTATAGGATTTGTTAGGAGACCTTAGACCTACAGCATTTGTTAGGAGACCTTAGACCTATAGCATTTGTTAGGAGACCTTAGACCTACAGCATTTGTTAGGAGACCTTAGACCTATATGATTTGTTAGGAGACCTTAGACCTATAGGTTTTGTTAGGAGACCTTAGACCTACAGCGTTTGTTAGGAGACCTTATACCTACAGCATTTGTTAGGAGACCTTAGGCCTATAGGATTTGTTAGGAGACCTTAGACCTACAGCGTTTGTTAGGAGACCTTAGAAATATAGCATTTGTTAGGAGACCTTAGACCTATAGCATGTGTTAGGAGACCTTAGACCTATAGCATCTGTTAGGAGACCTTAGACCTATAGGATTTGTTATGAGACCTTAGATCTACAGCATTTGTTAGGAGACCTTAGACCTATAGGAGTTGTTAGGAGACCTTAGAAATATAGCATTTGTTAGGAGACCTTAGACCTATAGCATGTGTTAGGAGACCTTAGACCTATAGCATCTGTTAGGAGACCTTAGACCTATAGCATTTGTTAGGAGACCTTAGAACTATAGCATTTGTTAGGAGACCTTAGAAATATAGCATTTGTTAGGAGACCTTAGACCTATAGCATGTGTTAGGAGACCTTAGACCTATAGCATCTGTTAGGAGACCTTAGACCTATAGCATTTGTTAGGAGACCTTAAATATTAAATGTAAAATTCAAACTACCCCCCCAACTAGAAGCAGCCGCCCCCCCCCCCCCTCAGCCACCTCATTCTATTCATCCCTCACCCCATAGATCAAACGATTTATGAATATTTTATACAATATATAAATATAAGACTCGCTTACATAGTTCGAGCCACCCACTTCCTAAAAGGAATCATTTGCTATCTTTGATTTAACAAAAGAAAAAAAATTCTGCCTAAAACTAGACAGGAGAGTTCTGTTATGATGCTTTCTCTTACTAGACAGGAGAGTTCTGTTATGATGCTTTCTCTTATCTTTGTGCAAACAAGATCAATGAGTAACACCTTTTAAAAATTATTTTCAAACAGCCTCTGATTAAAATAAAGCTTATTTCATTGAATTTCATGCCAAAATAAAGAACTATTGAGTCTAGCCCGCCTAGAATAAAGTACTGGGGGGCCTTTCTGGGATAGAAGCGGAAGCAGTATTACAATGATATGCCCCATTGGGATAGGGATGGCAGCAGTATCACAATGATATGCCCCATTGGGATAGGGACAGCAGCAGTATCACAATAATATGCCCCATTGGGATAAGGGCGGCAGCAGTACCACAATGATATGCTCCATTGGGATAGGGACAGCAGCAGTATCACAATGATATGCCCAATTGGGATAGGGGCAGCAGCAGTACCACAATAATATGCCCCATTGGGATAGGGGCGGCAGCAGTACCACAATGATATGCTCCATTGGGATAGGGATGGCAGCAGTATCACAATGCTATGCTCCATTGGGATAGGGACGGCAGCAGTATTACAATGATATGCCCCATTGAGATAGGGGCGGCAGCAGTATTACAATGATATGCCCCATTGGGATAGGGACGGCAGCAGTATTACAATGATATGCCCAATTGAGATAGGGGCGGCAGCAGTACCACAATGATATGCTCCATTGGGATAGGGATGGCAGCAGTATCACAATGCTATGCTCCATTGGGATAGGGACGGCAGCAGTATTACAATGATATGCCCCATTGAGATAGGGGCGGCAGCAGTATTACAATGATATGCCCCATTGGGATAGGGACAGCAGCAGTATTACAATGATATGCCCCATTGAGATAGGGGCGGCAGCAGTATTACAATGATATGCCTGATTGAGAGCGCAGCAGCAGTATTACAATGATATGCCTCATTGGGATAGGGGCGGCAGCAGTATTGCAATGATATGCCCCATTAGGATAGGGGCAGCAGCAGTATCACAATGATATGCCCCATTGGGATGGGGCGGCAGCAGTATCACAATGATATGTCCCATTGGGATAGGGGCGGCAGCAGTATTACAATGATATGCCCCATTGGGATAGGAGCGGCAGCAGTATCACATGATATAATTCTTACTCATGATGTCACAGAGAAGCTCATTCCTCCAAAAGGTACAAAAGTGCACTGACATGACAACACCAAGTTACTTTGAACACATGACAACACCAAGTTACTTTGAACTGTGTAATGTTTAAAAATTCCTTTCCTGAAGTCAGAAAGTTTTTAGCAACTAAACCAGCCTGATCACTTGACTAAAACGATGCTACTGGTTTGAATGGCTTTGACAAATACTGAAAATTCAAATGTAAATGAACGCATTCGACCACACAGAGCAAATAAAACAAAGGTAAAATTAAGACTTCATAACAAAAGCCAAGACAAAAAGGGTCAATTGCATTTTTAATTCAACCATCTTCTGAGTAAAAGAAAACTATACAAAAATTTTACTCTGGATAAAAATCAGAAGTTTGTGCAACTAGGTTTGAATGTGATCTAATGATGATAAATAAACAACTAGGTTTGAATGTGATCTAATGATGATAAATAAACAACTAGGTTTGAATGTGATCTAATGATGATAAACAACTAGGTTTGAATAATATCTAATGATGATAAACAGCTTATAAAACAGGAAAGGATACATAATTAGTAAATACTTTATTTCACGGAGAATGGTTAAAACTGAGTTGGTGGTCTGAGAAGAAATACTTGTGAGAAATAATTGTAAGAAAATCCAGTTACAATCACAGAAAACAGAATTAGTAACTCTTACTGAAAAGAATAAACAGAGAAAGTAGCAGTTGAGGAAGCTTAGTCCAACAGAATGGAAAGAATAAGCCAGTGAGGATGTTGCTCTTGGGAGCAAGGAGTCAATGTTTGCTGGAGAGTTGTGAGCTTTCAGTTAGTAGAGACATTCATGAATTGATGATGTAAACAAAACTCTCTTTTGTACAAATACTGGCTTTAAAAAGAATGGATGCTTCAAAAGTTCAATCTTGTTGTTTTTTTCCCTTTAATTTAATACTCATAGTTTATTTAATGCTTGTATTCCTTTTGGAAAAAAAAAAAAAAGTTATGAACCTTCTCATCCTTTTTAAATGCTTAAAGGTTAAAAATTGACCAACTAAATCAACGATACAAAAAATAAAAAAATGTGTATAAACTTGGATAGAAAAGAAGGGGCTTACAGTGATCAAGTGCCCAGTGTTAATAAAAATAAAAAAAAGAGGGGCAATGTGTTAAAGACTTTCAAACTGTTCCACTCAATCACATCAGAAGGCATGGATGGCAACAAAATTCAGTTTTAATTACTGTTAGTTTACAGGCTATGTAAAGAATTAATTAGTTTACAATGTATAAATATTAACTGTCCTGAGATAAATATACCGATACTACTATTATCATTCTGTAGTATAAAGTCCAGCTTTTGGGTCATCCATTTATGATGTCAAATTATTGTACCATTTCTTATCATTTCCACCACCAAAATAAAACAACAAGAATACAAACTAAACCCTTACAATACATGCACAAAATTATACTGCTAAGTTTTCCCAAAATATAAAAGAGAAAATAACGAGCTTACTAAAAGCTGCTTTTGAAACTTATCACATGTACATAAATCTTTTAGACTAAATAAACTATTCTCTAATAAAGTAGTACTGATACTTTTTCTTCATCACCAGTGTTAAAAAAAAGCATTTTACTATTTTGTGATCACAGATACTGCATATAAATGGTAAATATGTAATCAAATATACTCATTTAAAAGATAATTTCCCCATAAACTGTCTCCCACCAAATTGCAGCTGTGTAGCATCATTCATGGATAATCCAAATCATTTATAAAAACTAAGCCATTTTTTTCTTCTTCATTCACACAGAGTTATGGTTAATTCAAAGGATGGAACAGTTTTAAGGGCCAAGTAAATCATGTCTACATAATCTGAATTGTTTTTACAAATATTAATCAGAAATTATGCGTACTTGTACATCCTAAAAATACACACAGCTTATCATCTCTAAAGTTTTTGATTTTCAAGGATTACCCTTAAGTAATTCAGGTGTTAATTCCAACCATTTTGATGTGTATAAATTATGAACGGTGCTGCAGCTTCGGGTGTAAGGTTTCAAGATAACTAGTACCCATATGTTGTCAACTTTCCACATTATAGTATCTCTTCTTTAATGTCCTGTATTTTCTGAGCATATACAATGCTTCAAGCTCTTTGACTATATAATTTCCTTTAGCCAGCATAAGTTCAATTTGTTTGGGGTCCTTTAAGTCTTTGTTCTTCATGAAAGCTGCATGTAAACGTGACCGGAAATACTCTGGACCTTTGGGATAATCTTTTCCTAAGTGAAGGAGCTGAAGTGTAATTAAGGTAATCCATAATGAGAATCTATATGAATCATATTCTAAAAACAATAATAAACAAAATTATAAGGAGACAATATTAGCATCACAAAATTGTTAGTCACACATGCTTTTTCAAAAACTGGTGACAAAACAGAAAAGTATGTTTACTAACTCTCTAAATGCCTTTTATTAACTCAGTAATTAATGAAAATTACTCAATAAAATTTAACTTTTAAACAAAAACAATTAAGTTGATTACTATTTATCAAAAGCTTTACCAGGAAAGAAGAAATGACAGAAGTCTTTGACCACTTAATCTTTAACTTAAACAATTTTGAAAAAAAAGGAGATGAAATTGATAATTTTTCTTGTAACAAATAATATTTTAAAAAAAAAACAGGTTTCAAATATTTATCTTTAAAAATGACAAAACATGTCTTTGAGAGGTTGTTCTTATTTATATTTAACACAATAATAAATAAATGATAATTACCGTTCTGTACAGCAGTTTAACCTTAGACTTTAAGGCCTGATTTGACATTCTAATATAATAATGGACCAATAGATCTTTTGCTTCTTGGTGGTACAAATGTTTGGGATCTGCCGATTTCAGGAGATGTTTTAAAAGAACTATCTAAATAAATAGAGATTAAACATGAATCAATCTTAAAAAGCTATAAATATACTATTAGAATTTTGTATATAATTCAATTATTGTTTAAAGTTGCAGATGGCTGAGCTTTGTGCTTAAGAAACACTTTTGATGTCATGTGTGTTTAAATGGTAATACCAGTACGGTAGTTTAAAAATGTTGTCTGTGTAAAAATATTAATTTATGTGCTGAAATGTATGGGTACAATGTGATTAAAAAAATGTTGATTTATTTAATTTGGATCAATAAAAGAATCTTATCTTAACTTATTTTAATAATATTAATCAAAATTACATGATTGATAGTAATAGTAATGGCAATGGGTCCACTATCTATGTTTTCCCATCCCACTAACATAGGCTACTACTTTGTATTAATATTAATATAGTTTCAAATACTTAAGTATGGTGCTAATAGTGCTAAATAATAAAGTATAAAGAGTAAAACATTACATTATTTTATGACATTATTATGATTAAATTTTAAATCAATTTTAAAAAGTTTTTACAGATGTTTATATTTGATGAATTAATTTTTTTAAAATTTGGCTTCTTTGCTACTAATTAGACAGGATGATTCTTATGGTATATCTATAGTCTATATATTAATCAATATTATTATTTTAACGCTAGCTATAAAATTAATATATATTAAACTAAGTCTAATCATGCTTAATCTTTCCCCCTATATTTTATTATTAGCTATTAACTACATCATATTATGTACATGTAGTAATAGTAATAATAGTATGATTATGATTATGAAAACTATTGTTAGAGTTACAACAAATTTTTGGAGCTCATGACCAATGATTGAATGACATGTGCAGACTGTCATTGTGATGTACAATAGCAATGGTGAGGGAAAATGGAGCACACAACAAAGGCCACCACTTAAATTTGACAAACAAAGGATTCATTGAGTATGTGGTATGTATTCATTGTGACTGTCATTGTCCTGTGGTTAGACTTCAAGTAGTAGTTAGGCCTAGACACTCTAGCGTTATCTATTTGTAGTAGTACCTATTTAACTGTACTTTATAAGAGACTCTTCTTGCTAATTTCACAACTCTCATAAGACTAATTAAAGAGTAAATAAGTGAAGGCACTAGTAATACGTTAATTAAGTAACTAAGTCTCAATACTCAACTGTCATAAGTCATGATAAGTCGTTTGTCTTTAATTTACTTTAATTTTAATAAGTTTTAGTCACTTCCCTTTTTAACTTTTTAGACATTATTATCTGGAAATGTTATTTGGACATTCCACAATGCTTAACGTTTTTTATGTAAGTAGAATAACCAAGTCTTACTCTGATCGAATTTGAATAGCATCAGGTACTATTTAAATCATGGACTAACAAACAAATGCATTAGACATGATTAGATGCATTAAAGTGGCAAAGTTTTATTTTAACTGGAAGGAAATTGTTGTCTCTCTATAATTGTTGATTACATCCCTTGGTTAACGGGGCAGGAAGTAGACTAAGTAGATAATGAATTGAATGAAAGAAGACTCGATTTCACGCAACTTGATAATTTTTCAAGCTATTTGTAGTAAAGGTCATTGATACATTTCACACACCATGACAAACACACACACAAATCGATTTTCAATTATTTTAAATTTATAAAAATGTAATTTAATATATATTTTATCCCTGTGTTCGATAGAAGAGATAGATTTGATTTCTTCCTTCTATGACTTAAAAGCTTTAACTTTAAGAGAGGGAGTGATTGCTTTGCTAGCGGTCTCATATGGCAGTTTTTGGAGACCGCATTTTCAAGCCTGCTGAGCTGCGTCAAAAAAAAAAAAAGAAAGAAAGATAAAAGACACCGTTCAAATCGTATATTTCATTAGTCATTAGCTAAGCCTTTTTCTTTTACGTACAGTTATTTTGGGGTGGGGGAATTTACCAAAATTCCACCTGTCATCTTTTGTTCAGAAAAAAAAGTAGAAATTGTGGGTCGAAAAATAGAAGCCAGTTCAGTAGTGGTGTTGCCAACCGTCCATAAAATATTAATATAAAGATGGTTTGTACGAACTTAATGTTGATCTTTAAAAAAAGAAACATAAAATATTTTGTTTAATTAAGACTTTTGAAACGAAATATGCCTAGACTTCTCATCATTTTTAAAGGATAGAGTGACAGACAAAAGCATAAAGAGTGGCTCGAGCGCTTAAAAAAAAAAAAAGTCGCTGTGAAGCATGGAGGCGCCAGGCATGGTTACCAAGTCAATGAAATAAAATTTACTTTCAAACATTTTAAAACTTCACAATTTTACGAACTGACAATTTATTAGGGACTCGTTTTTAATATATATATAAAAAAAAAAACCAACCCATGGAGTAAAACAATTAAAATGTCCATTTATGACTATGTCTTTACAAATTATATTCCACTATGTGGCCCAGCAGTGGCGACGCCATCAAATTTAACATGGTGGGTCCCTTGCAGGTCTAAAAAAAATTTGGCGGGTCCCAAATAAATTTATTAAAAATAAAATTTATTTATTAAGTAATATTTAATAATCTACTAACTTAACCCATTATTGACTTTTGTTGTCGATAAAAATTTAAACATATAAAGGCATTTAAAATGGAAGTTCTCTTACATGTAATGTAGAATAATAATAATAAAGTTCATTTCAAAAACACGCTTCATCCCCAAAGGCTCGAAGCGCGGTACAAAGTCAACAAAAAACACATCTATAATTTACCACATTTAAAACAAACGCAACACTACAAAAACTAATTACAAGCATACAATCTCAATACAATATACAATATTAGTAACTAATAAAAATTTACCAGGTCATTTGCCAGGTCCCAAGTTTTTTTTACCAGTTTCTGGTGTAGCGTCGCCACTGTGGCCCAGGAATATGCCATATGACCCAAAATTCTGTATGTAGCGTTAGCTAATTTAATGGTAGGCTATCATCAGCAGTGTTCAATTTCTTCTGATAATGATATAGGTTCATTTTTAGCAAGAACGCTTATGTTTTAAAAAATAAAAATATTTCGTTGTTATCTAATTATTAAAGACTTTCTTTCTACTCGCATTTCCATCTTGTTGGTTTGTCCAGCGTATAGGCCTATTTGTTTTGTTAACACACATGACCCTCTCGCTCAGTCGATTCAGTCTTCCTTGTGCTGACCTGTAAGGTCGCATCTGAGTTGATGACGCAGTGTCACAGCCCCGGTAAGCTGGCTCGAGGGAGAGGGTTAGGTTGGGGTGGTGAGTGATGGGGAAATAAAAAAAAAAAAATAAGGTGCTAAAGACATGAACGCTACGCCTTCGCTTAAATAACCATCGGTCCTAATTGTGGAATTTAGGGATTGGATGGGGGAATGTTTTGGGGAAGAGGATTTCGACAATTAGACTCTCATCAAATGATGTCTAGCAATCATTTTATTCTACTTTTAAGTTTTATGCCTAGTTAAAGAGCTAAGTCAATTATGAAGAATTCGTTGTTAAAAAAATATTTCGTGGATAATTTACCGGTTAAAATGTTCATACTAAAAAGTATGTGATACGAATAAAATAAAAAATTATGCAACCCCAAAATCAAAGTTTTTCATATAAATCCATTATATGCATGTTTTGTGCGACTTAGCCATGGCTATAGCTCTTAAGAAAGCATTGCATCATATTACCTTCATCTTCCCCATTAAAAACTGAGCTTGGAGGATTGGGGTGGGTGGTGAGGCTTAATACTTGAAAGAATGTGTTGTCATTGACAACGAGGCCATATGCCAAGTTTCAGCTTGATAAGGTGACAAGAAGCGGGTAGATTAGCCTTCCGAATGTTTTACAAGAAAGAAACATGTGAACAAAAGCGCATTTAAAATAATTATTGGAAAGGGGGGGGGGTGGCTGAAAATTCGACAAAATACGCGTTCAAGTAACGCACTTTATGAGAATGCACATGAGTGCCCCCCCCCCCCAAGGGTCATCACCGCACATTTTTCATGCCCATGACGAGCTATATTAATATTCTAATGTCCCTCCCCCTCCTTTTAAACCGTAGATTTATTACTTACCGTACTTATCGGCGTATAAAGTGCACTGTATCTCCCTGAAAATGGGGGGGGGGGGGAAAATGTTGTGTGCGTATTATAAACTTTTTTATTGTTAAGTTTTTTTTCTGAAATTTCCTTTTTTAAATGAGGTGGGTGTTATACCCCAATAAATACGGTATTTCAGAAAAAAAAAAGATTTATTACTTACCGTACTTATCGGCGTATAAAGTGCACTGTATCTCCCTGAAAATGGGGGGGGGGGGGCAAATGATGTGTGCGTATTATACACCTATATAATGTTAAGTTTTTTTCCTGAAATTTCCTTCTTTAAATGAGGTGCGTGTTATACGCCAATAAATACGGTATTTCAGAAAAAAAAAAAGAAAAAAGAAAGCATTACGCACCAAACGCACTTGCGATATTTTAAGAGTTTCATTAAGTGCAGTTATTCATGAAATTAGTGGTATAATATTTCCTTCATCTTCCCGCTGAAAAACAGAAGGAAAACTGATTTTTGGGGGGTTGGAGGTGGGGCTTAAAATTTGATAGAATGTGTTGTCATCGTGAAGGAGTCTATGTGCCATGTTTAGGTCGACTGGTTGACGGGAAGTGGGTCAATTAGCCTTCCTAATATTTTGCTAAAAATCCAGAAAGAAACACACACAAACAAGATTATCACTATTTTAAAGTACAAACATTTTCATCCTCACAATTTTATGTTAGGGTTTAATTCAACATTAAAAAAAAAATATATCAACAATAGTGTAAAATATTCAATTTTCTGGTGTTTTCTTTGCAAAAAAAAAAAAAAAAAAAAAAAAAAAAAAAATATATCAACAAAAGTGTAAAATATTCAATTTTCTGGTGTTTTCTTTGAAAAAAAAAAAAAAAAAAAAAAAGAAAAGAAATTGTTTTTAATCTTGGTACTTAAATTTTTAACATTAACCTTAAAAGGTCAGCGATAGAGGGAGCTTCCGATACAATGTAAAAATGACGTAGTAAGCAGTGTTTGGAAGGGTCGCAGACGCAATTTTACTTTGATGCGTCTGAATGAAAGCAAATAAGTGTAAGCTTTTGCTGGTTATAGGGTTTAAATATGTAATTCCGTTTTTGCTCTCAAAAGAATCATTCTAATTCTAAAGAACCTGATATTAATTTTCTGTGATTAATACTGGTAAGAATAAAAAATAGGAAGCGTGTTAATCGTATGTCGTTTTCTGTTTCGTCAAAATTAAAAGCTCAACCATTGAAGTCCATTGCCATTTCATTTTGATATAGCCAGAGGCCTATTTTATTCCATATTTTTTCGTAAAATATTTCTTTTATATATATTAAGCAGCTACTATGCCGGTTTTCAGACCTAGAAATAGCTTTTGAATTATAATCATGTCAATAATGATTTTAAAGACTACACACACAAACAGTACTAACACAGATGTGTTCACCCGCAGCATAGAAAAAGACTTAAAAGAGAATTATCACACTTGAGACTGGACAAGTACTAGTGGCACAGTCAGATCTAAATGTAGTTTAGCTAAATAGCTACTTAGTATTGTGTTAAGTAGAAGTAGGTAGGTTGTCTTGGTAGTAAGCTCATTTAAGTTTTTTTTTTTTACATTTTTAGGCCTTGGCCTAATTATAATTGAAATGTTTTTGACTTTTCACCTATGACTATGTCACTTTTAAATAAAAAGTAAAAGCCTTTTCTTGTGTAAGTTCATTAGGCACAAAGAAGAATAGGTTGATTTTGGGTTAGCGGTAAGGCGGCGATGTGTTACATGGTATGTAGGTTACGGAGGTTCCCCCAGGTCAACTTCCGTCTACAGCGCCATACTAAAAATATTTCGATGTTTGTATTCACATAATGCAAGTTTTTGTTGTCTTTTTGAAATCTGGGGAGGAAATTATGTCGGAGGTGAAAGAAAGGATAACACATGCAACCGTTCCTCTTTCAGCCTACAAAATCTACTGGGACGCAAAAACCTCTCAAGGGGAGCAAAGAAGAAAATGTATACCACTATCATAATACCATTAGTAACTTACGCTTGGACTCTTACCAGAAAAGCAGAGAACCTTCTCAATACATGGGAGAGAAAATACTCAGAAAAATGATGGAAAATGATAATTTATTGATGTGTGTTTATGTGTCTATGGATACTCTGGTCCATTATTATTGTGGACCTCATTTTTACACAGTTACACAGTGTCAATATTTATATTCTCTCGCTTCCTGTATTCCCACTTCCGGCAACACCAATGGATACTTCTTGAGTTGTCTACTGTGCTCTGTTTTTTTGTTATAATTTCATTTCTACTGAAGAAGGCTTTATGCCGAAACGTCCTTTTTTTTTTGTCCTGTTCTCTTATTCAAGCTTCCACATACCTCGTTTTGCTATTTCATTCATGGAAAATGATATCTGGAGAATCCCGACAAACCAAGAGCTTTA